CCAACAAACCCCCAACCCAAATCCAACCCTCGGCAAAAAGCTGCACCGGCCAGGAGGCAAGGGGGATTCCAAATTGAGTCAAAAGCAGGGTGGAGGGGAAGGCAGCGAGAGGCGAAGTCGCAGATCTCCGTACCTGCTCGTTTTGAAGCCCCTCCCCCTGGGCGTGAGGGAGACGCGCACTCCGGTGGGGGGGCCGCTTGGGTCCCCCCCACCCCTGGCTCCTGGCTCTTTCCCACCCCGGGCTCTCTCCTGGCCTCCCACCCCCCGCGCTCGACTTCCACCATGACGGTGATGTCTGGGGAGAACGTGGACGAGGCTTCGGCCGCCCCGGGCCACCCGCAGGATGGCAGCTACCCCCGGCAGGCCGACCACGACGACCACGAGTGCTGCGAACGCGTGGTTATCAACATCTCCGGGCTGCGCTTCGAGACGCAGCTCAAAACCCTGGCGCAGTTCCCCAACACGCTGCTGGGCAACCCTAAGAAACGCATGCGCTACTTCGACCCCCTGAGGAACGAGTACTTCTTCGACCGCAACCGGCCCAGCTTCGACGCCATCCTCTACTACTACCAGTCGGGGGGCCGCCTGCGGAGGCCCGTCAACGTGCCCCTGGACATGTTCTCCGAGGAGATCAAGTTTTACGAGTTGGGCGAGGAGGCCATGGAGAAGTTCCGGGAGGACGAGGGCTTCATCAAGGAGGAGGAGCGCCCTCTGCCCGAGAAGGAGTACCAGCGCCAAGTGTGGCTGCTCTTCGAGTACCCGGAGAGCTCGGGGCCCGCCAGGGTCATCGCCATCGTCTCTGTCATGGTCATCCTCATCTCCATCGTCATCTTTTGCCTGGAGACACTCCCCGAGCTGAAGGATGACAAGGACTTCACGGGCACCGTCCACCGCATCGACAACACCACGGTCATCTACAATTCCAACATCTTCACGGACCCGTTCTTCATTGTGGAAACCTTGTGCATCATCTGGTTCTCCTTCGAGCTGGTGGTGCGCTTCTTTGCCTGCCCCAGCAAGACGGACTTCTTCAAAAACATCATGAACTTCATCGACATTGTGGCCATCATTCCTTATTTCATCACCTTAGGCACCGAGATAGCTGAGCAGGAAGGAAACCAGAAGGGCGAGCAGGCCACGTCGCTGGCCATCCTCAGGGTCATCCGCTTGGTAAGGGTTTTTAGAATCTTCAAGCTCTCCCGCCACTCTAAGGGCCTCCAGATCCTGGGCCAGACCCTCAAAGCTAGTATGAGAGAGCTAGGGCTGCTCATCTTTTTCCTCTTCATCGGGGTCATCCTGTTTTCTAGTGCAGTGTACTTTGCCGAGGCGGAAGAAGCTGAGTCGCACTTCTCCAGTATCCCCGATGCTTTCTGGTGGGCGGTGGTGTCCATGACCACTGTAGGATACGGTGACATGTACCCTGTGACAATTGGAGGCAAGATCGTGGGCTCCTTGTGTGCCATCGCTGGTGTGCTGACAATTGCCCTGCCCGTACCTGTCATTGTGTCCAATTTCAACTATTTCTACCACCGAGAAACTGAGGGGGAAGAGCAGGCTCAGTTGCTCCACGTCAGTTCCCCTAACTTAGCCTCTGACAGTGACCTCAGTCGCCGCAGTTCCTCTACTATGAGCAAGTCTGAGTACATGGAGATCGAAGAGGATATGAATAATAGCATAGCCCATTATAGACAGGTCAATATCAGAACTGGCAATTGCACCACAGCTAACCAAAACTGCGTTAATAAGAGCAAGTTACTGACCGATGTTTAAAAAACAAAAGCAAGCAAACAAGCCCACTTAGCAGCTCAAAAGACTTAAAAAAACAAAACAGAAAACCTAGTGACTCATGTTACACTTTGTAGATACTTTACTAAGTAGACTTCTAATGCTCTATCTAACTGTCAATGCATTGTGGCATTGAGGATTTTGGGGGTGGTGAACCAGAAGCTTTCAAGATCCATGACAAAATAAACTATTTTCCTGTTATTAAAAAAATGGGAAAAGAGAGAGTATTTTCTAAAACTGGCTTAAAAAGATTCAGTCCATGAACTAGTCTAGGTGAAATAAGAATCACATGCTTCCCCAAACTGAAACATTTTTAATCCTTTGACTTCTGTAACTTTTTTAAAAACTCAAAACCAGATGATCACTTAGAAATATAAAATTAAAATTTGCATGGGACTCCAGTAAAAGAAAAATCTTTGCAAACTGCATAGCACACTGAAGACAGTGCATCAGATGTATTATCTGTAAGATGATAGACCAGCCAAAATGGGCAATGAACAGATATTTTTATTTTGATCAACTGAACTCCATATTACAAGGTGAAAAAAGAAAACTCCTTAAGACTGAAAAGAAAATTACTTAAGACTGGTTCACAAAGCACCTTATAAATCTGATACTGGTCCTGCTCTGTAGGGATTTCCCCCTGGGCTCATTCTCTTTCTAATTTAGATTATTCTCTAATAAAAAGATAACTGAATTAACTTAATTGATTCATCTGCGGTGCTGCTAAATTTTCTCAACTGCAGATGAGCCAAATACAGGTCTTTTCTCACCAGACCTGCACTCTGATCCCTGGCTTTCAGAACTGGATGTAAAACCTTAGTTTCCTTATTGCAAGAGAGCACAAATGAAGTTAAATGTAAGCATGTTTGAATCTGATACAATTTATTTTACAATCGCATGCTGAGAAGTTAACCCAGACAATAGGGCATAAGCTTAAGTTGAAATTGATTCTTCTGAAAATAGATCCTTTTTCATTTGCATTCACCAAAAGTGCACTCCTCCATTTATTAACTATTTTATTAGTAAATAAAGTACTGTATTTAAGTGCATATGTTAGTCAGATGGGAACAATAACTTTTTGGAGCTCAAAGCATGTTCTCTTATTCAGCATTATGACCTATTTGACTAAGATGTACCTTGAATTAATTAATGCATGATTTCAGTAATAAAAATTTAAAAAGTAATAAAAATTACAAGTCTGTGGGATGAAAGGCCCAATAGAAATTATGGGGGTGGGGGTGGGGACACTCAGTCAATTTTCCTGCCTTTGCTCAGGGAAATACCAGGTTTTTGTGCAGGTGTAGGCGGAGAAAGGACCAATATGCCCATCCCTTAAAGGGAAGTTACGTGAAAAATTAAATAAGTCATCAAGGTATATATAGCAACACCTAAGAACAAATATTCCTTCTAGCTGAAGACAAACACAAGCAAAACAAACAAACAAAAAAAGGTGCAATCCTGCATGTTTTTTGGTGCATTCTTAGGATATAAATGAAAATGTTTCTCTATTGTGTGCATCCAAAGCAGAGCTGAATTTTTTTTCTTTGCAGTCATGATTTGAAGTCTGTAGAGACTTCAGCCCTCCCCTTGAGGCTCCCTGAAGAAACTAAACCAATTGATTTAATAGTTGCTTAGTGCCTTTATCCTGTACCCACAGTGAACTGCAGAAAGTGCCTCCTTAACACAGCTGAGAAGTTAGGTAACAAAAGTGGGGAAGGGTTGGGGCACAGATCTTTTGCTTTTTCTTTTTCCATTCTCACGCTCTCATTTCACCACTGTGAGAAGACCACACCACCCTAAACCCTGGAGAGGAGAGACCCACAAGGGTGCTGCCTCTCTGGCCACCTACTGGCGTTGGTCCCTTTGACAGCCTGACACTGGATGTGAACTGAGACCCATCTTTGAACTGGTCACGAACTGTGAATTTGTTTTTTCCTCTTCTCTACCAGAAGCCAAGATAAACTCTTTGGGAATGTGTTTCCTATCGAGGGCCACTTTGGACAGACAAGACTTCCTCACGTCCAGTGTAGTGTTCCTGGCACCTTTCCTTATTCTTTCTCTGTTAGCACAGCACTTTGCAAATCTCGCTGATGGTCCAATCTTTTCAGGCATCATTGTGGATATGGGAACACTCAGTTCATAATAACCTTTCCTAGGTTGTCCCTCCTGGTCTACCCCTTCAGATATGTCCTATGATGCTCCTATGATCTTCCCACCTGGTAGTCACTTCACAGACTGAGCATCTAGCTTCCGCTGCCCCAGTCACCCAGCCCAGAGAATGGTGGGGACCCCGTTCCCGGCTGAAAGAGAGCCACGGAACACAAGCGTCTGGAGCTCGGCAGCTGTCCACCCGTGGAGAAGCACTCACAGCCTTTTTAAGGACTCTGAGGTGGGGAATCTTCATTGTGCACTTAGCATGTGGCTGCCTGTTACCTGACATTCTGGCCCAGCTTCTTCTGAAACTCTGTCCTGTTTCTCCCACCCCTTTCCCCTATCCTGTCCTAGAACTAGCAGTGAGGCACTCACCCTAGAAACTCGAGTTACACCATTCTGGCTAACTCAATTGAAAGAAAGAACATGGACATCTTATTTTCCTATGCGACTTCTGTGAATCTGTAACACGAACACAACACACATTGTGGAAGATGAGGGGCCAAGAACTGCACAGCACCCGACTACAGGGCATTAAACCCTCCCATGTGGTGTCTCCCTTCTCGTCTGAACCTTAACTCATTCTGGTGATTCCTTTCCTACTTGCTTAAAAATCCCCAATTAGGAAAAAAATGCCAACCTCCCCCCGCTCCCGGGGATGTCTTGATCTTTCGTTTTGACTTTGAGGCCTAGTGCACACAGAACGTGAAACACCGCACTCTGTCAACAGCAATAATCCACTCAGTACTGTGGGATGGTTGGGTTAACGGATGAGAAAATGGGACCAAGACTGACTTTGGCTACGTGGTATGCTTACGGTGGTTACACCCTGGACTGGTTGATTCTTCTGCATGTCATATAGAAAAAAGTGCTGCATGCGGTGAACCTGTCAGCCTGGGACTGGGGATGAGTTGTTGTTATGAGTTTGGGATGGTGTGAGGAAAATG